TTTGTCGGGTTCGGAAACGAGCCCGAACTGAAGAGACGGGAGGATCCATGTTCCCATCAATGTTCGGGGGTCTGTATCTCGGCCCAAAGTAAGACCTGGGGTTGATTTTGATGTTATTCGACACAGCTCGACGAGTTCTATAATCTATTACGGACTGACAATTTTTGAATACTTTTAGGAAGGAAAAATGGGGAGGGGGGTACGAACCGAACTATTACCTCATATACTATCTAATAATTTCAATATAATTTAAATAATTAAATTCAATCTAACCCTTGTTTTGCTTTAATTAGATATTAGTTGTAATATTACTTTCTCGCAAATTATTTAGATCATCGCTGACTTCATTCCGTACTTTTGATTTAAAAATATTTCGCGCACATACAAGAAAGGGAGAGAATTTTAATTGCTTTTTAAGTTTGCGATAAATTAGATAAAGAATAAATTAGGTCAACCTAACTATTTTTAAACTAATTAATACTACACTGATATTTTTATCTTACTTTTGGAGGTTTATTTAAATCTGATACCAATAATCGAGAGTGATTTGATAACGAAACTTGCCAGAACTCCTAATTATAACATCTTCTAAAACTAATCTCATATACTCATACGTAGGGTTGTCGTTATCAATCCGACAGGAAAAACCCCTAAATTTGCGGTTCTGTTTGTCGGTTCGATTTAGGTTAACCGATGAATCTGGTGAAACTGAAAATCCTGTCATGAAACCCTATCACCCTATCAAGGATGAAGTAGACGGGATTTGTTAAAGTGAAAATTTCCTTTGAATCCCAGCCCCTCCCCCCACATTTACGCACAAAAAATCTCAATGTTCTAGGCATATTTTTTGTTACCAGCTAGGGCTATCTTATGGAAATCTGACCTAAAAGTCTCGGAACCGAACCGAAAAAACCTCGGTTCTTCGGATTGGGGGGGGGGGCTTCGATTAAGAACTGAAGCTTCTTCTTTCCGCTTCAGTACTGACAACATTACTACCTAATTAAATTTAGTCATGCCTAACATAAAATTAGTAATAAAATAAGTAATATAGCTCATATACTAAAATCACAAATTTACCGTATTTCCTCAAATAGTACGGCCCCCTCAATTAGTACGGCCCCCTCTATTAGTACGGCCCTTTAGATGAGGGTTGAAAAATAGTACGGCCCCCTCAATTAGTACGGCCCCCCAAATAGTACGGCCGGCCCCCATTTAAAAATATAAAAAATATTACAAAATTTGCTCTTCGAATTATAGTAACGATCCTCATCTTTATAATTAAATATATGACCGCTTAATCCTCCCAGATTCCTCCATTTTCAATAAAACTAGCGGAGTTGGTCGGCCTTCGGCCGCCCCACCCCGCTAGCAAAACAAAACAAACCAAAAAAACAAACTCCAAATCAACTTGTCACAACCTCAAAATTGGCCCTAATCAAATCATAATCAGAAAAACCCGATTATCAAAACATTGACCAGCATTAAAACATTACTCATTACCAAAACATTTAACAAAGCATTATCAAACAATATCTAATAGGTGCACCTGATAAGATACAAACAGGCGCTCGTGTGACTCCGCTAGCATAACAAAACAATTCAAATCAAGATCCGTCAACAGCAATATACGGATCTTGTCAATATTCCGCCTGCTTCACAATGCCCCTTCATTCCCCCAGCTTCAATATTCCACCAGTTTCACAATTCCCCATGTTTCAATATTATATATACACATGAACGTTGATATACTGAGTACAGTGGCTATATCTGAGACGCCACTCTGGGTCCTACATCTCTGGGTCCTAACTGGGTCAACCATACAAAAAAGTGACTCTATTGGATTTTTTATAATTCGGTCATATTTTGAACTTTTAAGATTCAAATCTACTTTCCCACAAGAAATCCTTCATAATTCCTATAAATATCGAATACCCCAGATATCCTAATATTCGTCCAAATCCTTGAATATTTCAGATATTCAATTAAATCTTCGGATATCCACTCAAATCACTCTTAATTCACCTAAATTTCTCTTAATCCATATCAGTGTTTTGGAAGGATATCGAGGGAATTTGATGGATTAAGCGGGATTAGAAGAAATATCCGAGGATTTGGATGGATCTCAGGGAAATTCCACGATATCTCTCCTAAATCTCATCAAATCCATTGATAATTCATAACAACTAAGTGCATAAGTCTGGATTCTGGGATATTTTGGTATAGGAATAGAGAACGGAAGAAGATTAAAGAGGGTTAAATTTAATCGAATTGCAAAGATTACAAATTAAAAACTGAGATAAGGCTTGTTGGAGATCTCAGATAATTTCGAAGGATGGTTGAAATATAGTACGGCCCCCTCAATTAGTACGGCCCCCTCAAATAGTACGGCCCTTTGGAAGAGGGTTGAAAAATAGTACGGCCGGCCGTACTATTTGAGGAAATACGGTAACAATAAAAATATCGCATCCTAAAAAGCAATTAAAAATTTCCGCAATAAAAGTGTTTAAAAATAAGAGAGAGAGAGGTCGTTGCTTTAGAAGGGAGAGAATATTTATATTATTTTGTATATTTATTTATTCTGGTTTGAAACTGATATAATTAATTGGTTATTTGTGCACGCTTAAGGAATGCTGCGCGAAAAGACGGGGTAAAATGACTTTTGTGTTGATGCTTTTACTTAATATAATGATTGATTTTGATGGGTTTTGGGTTCCACAGAGACTATAAAGTATTTTTAATATTAAATGATGATAATTAATTTTTTGGTTTAATAGTTGGTAGGATTTTGCATTGAGATAATTAATTAAATATTTTTGAAAGTAAATTTAATTAAAGAAAATTGGAGCTACATGTGGGTATAAATATTAAGTTGAACCATAAGTAACCGGTGTCATAACTTTAAAATTAACGATAATGAAATCAAATAAGCTTAGATGATAGAGAAATAACTAATAACAAAATTTTCAAGAATTAGCCCCATGCTTTGATACATATTCGAAGGCCGGTGTCATAACTTTAAGGCCATTGAAAAATTTTGGACAAAAGTTCGCATATCATCTTGAGATTTTCTTTCATTCGAACGAGTGATTGCAGGCGCCATAGTGAATCGTCCCTTTATTGAATTATACTCTATTATAATCAGAAAAATTTCTTATAATCTGATTAAGTTTAAAAATTCGATTTTAGCTTTTTGCAGAGATCAGACTTCTGACTTAATCATGATTCAAATTCAATATCTCGAATTCCGATAACTGATATTTCAACTCAACATTTTATTTCCAGTCGGTGCAGTCCGCAGTCCACATTTGCAGACAGCCCTGCTTTAATGGCGTCAAATAAAATTTAATGAGATCACTGATTGTAAAAATCATCCCCTTTGTCTATGTCAATATAGTCGGTGCTATGCGCACCGAAAAAATTTAAAACCCAAATTAATTTACCAATTACTTTATCTTCATATATTTCTTATTAAAATGATGCAAGAATTGTGGGTATTAACGGGTTTATTAAATAACTAAAATATTTTTCTTTATTATATCCCAAATCGCTCAAGTATCGCACCCATTGACCTTAATGCAAATATTGAGATATTCATGTAAATAAATTTTATTTTGGCTTGAACTGGTTGTGATTGAGATAATAAATTAACTGTGTAATAAAAAAGTACCCAAACGTCCTTGAAAATTTTTTTTTGTATTATAGATACACGGATGTAATTTACTAGGAGAGATAAATATTATCAGTTTAATAACAAGGATGTACCCACAGGCTAATAATTATTTACTAATGGATTTTGAGTATTTTTATGCCTTTTTAGCATCACTGTAATAGTGATGGTCGGGAGTTAAAAAAAGCCGAGAGTCGAGAGTCGAGACCGAGACCGGGAATCGACCCCGAGACCGAGTCCCGGGTCGAGACCGAGAGTCGAGACCGAGAGTCGAGACCAAGAGATTAGGAGGGATACCCTCTCTCAGTATCACATGTCCCACGGGACATGTGACACAACAAACACACAACAAACGTTGCAAGGCTTTGAAGCCATAAATCCTCCTATTTCATCCATTTCCTGCGCCGCAGGCGAAAATTTTGAGAATTTTGGAGGTCCGTCAGATTTCTTCCATTTTTTGTGCCGTAGGCAAAAATTTTGAAAAGTTTGGGAGGCCAATAGCCAGATTTCTTTTTTTTTTTACCGCCGGAGGCGAAAACGCTGCGCCGCAGGAGGAAATTTTGAAAAATTCATGATTAAATTAAAATTTTTAATGTTTTTTTCAAGTTTAAAAAATTAAGAAAAAATAAATTAAAAATTTTAAAATCAAAATCAAAGTTTAAAAACGTTTATTTCCGAAAAGAAAAATTTTCACAACCTCATTTGCACTTTAGGATTCGAACCCAGCACTTACGAAATATTTAAGTGAGTGAAGTCAGTCAACTTAACCACTCAACCATCAACCATCAAAAGCAAATGGGAGAAATTATAAATATATTCCTTTCCCCTTTCCTTCAAAAAGTTCAAAAAATTTCCGTCATTAGGGGTGTAAATTTAGTCTCGTTTTCCGAGACTAAAACACCGAGACCGAGAGCTCAAAAAACCCGGGAAATTTCCCGACTCGGGAACCGAGACCGGGAATCCCGACCATCACTACACTGTATTATAAAATTATTATGTTAATAATTTAGGTACAATATTATGTATTTTAGATGTTATTCAGAAATTTTTTTTCAACAATAAGTGGAAAGAAAAAAATTTAAAAAAGCGGAAATATAAATATAAATATTAGTGAAGATGACTCTTGATCTTGATTTTGAGGCCAAGTCTTTGTCTTTATTGGAAAAATATATCTTATTAAGTTTTATAATAGATTATGTATATCTAAGATCACTAGAATATATCGCTAGAATACGTTATCTAAGAATTCAAAAATAATTTTATTTACCAAAATTTAAATTTATAAAGCACTAAGTATTAATAGATTTATTCAATAGTTTTCTAAATTATATACTTATTTTTTCTTAGCACCTCGTTGTTTAAATCCTTTTTGGGCTACCATTTGTTCTTTAGTTGTTGGATCTAATAGCCTGTCAAAAAATTATAACCCTAAATTATAGATAATTTCGAATGTCGTATAGTGATACCCCTCAAAACTGTAAAAAGTTGTCGACAAAATTCTTTAAATGGGAGAATCGCATATGTAGGTATCTCACCCACTTACACGACATCATCCACGATATAAAACTCAAACCTAATATCATTTACACTTCAATTTATGATACCTTTCAAATCTGAGGCATTGAGTAATATGTGGAGCTGATAGGCCCTTTAATTCTAGCCAGAATAGATAACTAAAGATCAGAGGTCGGTCGGAATTCAGACTTTCAAAAATTTAGGCAGATTTCCGATTTCCGACAGTTCCGATTTTTCCGAACGACCCTCCGTCATTTCCGACCGACCTCTTCTACAGATCCCCAAGTTTTATCCTAAAATAATTTACGAAACCACTTACAAATGTGGACGACAAAGCCAAATAGGACCATATTTAGCCAATCCATTATCCAAGCCGGAAGAGCCATGTTCTAATATTTTATCACAAATAGCACATTTGAAGCAACCCTTGTGAACTTTTGGAAAAAATTTTTTTGATAAATGATAATAAATAAACTCGTTTTCCGGTCCATAACCAACTTTTCCCCAGTTTTTATTTCCTGCTCGCAACGCTCACATTTTGGGTTTTGAAATTCACCCGGTCTGTAGCTTATTCCAAAAGGTTCCATTAAAATCTACTTATTTTTTAAAAAAAATATTATAAAGTTAAAATTCGATTAAAGGCTTAGATAAAGCTTAATAAGTGAGTTAAAAATAAATCGAACATTCAATAAATATTTCTTTATTTTTTCAAAGTTCTCTTACTAAAATCAGCTGTTGTGAAGTCTGTCAATTAAATAATAGAGGGAGAACTGATTTTTTTAAATAAAAAATAATTTTATAAAATTTTTTTGATATTTTTTGATGTGATATATTAATATTTTTTATAATTTTTTTGTATACATTTAAAATTTTTAATCGGAAATTTTTTGAATTAAAAATACATATTTCATTAAATACTACATATCTTAATAGAAATTTTTTAACCATAACTACATAATAGGGATCATGCCGTCCCGATCAGTGCTTATAAATTTCGGATTTGCTCGTAATCTTACTTCGTACCACCCCATTTTTGTGAGGTTCTTTGTGAGGTTCTTCTTTCCCTCATCACTTATATTTATACATATCTACCTGATTGCTAACCCCTTAATGCCATAGTCTAAAATTTTTTGATTTTCAGGTGTGGAAATATTTGTGAAAAAATAATAATCATTTTACACCTGCCACTTTATTAACATCAGAAAATTCTCAGAATTTATTTAATATTTATAAATAATAAATTAATTACGGCAGAAAATAATGTACTTTTAGATAGCTCTGTCTCAAACGGAAATTGTACCTGGCTCAATTACGGACTCACAGTAAGCCAAAAAGTGATCTCTTGGACTTTAAACAGAGCTAAATTAAGCAGATGTTTTAAAATAATATAAATTATTAGCTTATATTAAACTAAACTAAGAAAGTGAAGTGTGTAAATTATATATTATCAAAAGTATATATCTAAATTTTTTCATTTTTATTTGGGTCGAAGGTTCATTTCCTTTTTGTACGCAGATGAAATATTTGAAGAAGTACATTTAATAAAATAATGCTCTCAATCTTAGTTAAAAATTCTTTTAAATACCGTATTTCCTCTAATAGAAAGACATGTCGTTTTATTTTTCAATCTCCCTCTAGACTGTCGTTCTATTAAGGGGTATCGTTCAAATAGAGGCTGTCGTTCTATTAGAGGAAATACGGAAAATTATTTTATAATGACTAGAGTTGGTTTCCCGATCCGGCCCGTTCCGAACGTTCGAGTAGGGCATTAAATTTTAGCACGAAAAAAGATTCGGTCGGGTCGGTCCGAAAAATAAGGCCTGAACAAGACGAATTGAATGTCGGCCTGACTGGAAAACCCAAACCCTAATACTGGCGGTATACTTCTAGAATATCGTATGATTGGTTTATATCTGTCAAGCCTTCATCTAAATCTCAATTTTTCTCAAGGAAGCTTCTAAATTTAGGCAGGTGCATCTTTTTTTGAGACATTTCTAAGTAACAAAGATGTGCTTCTCGAGTATTCAAGGAATCCTGTCCAATTTCCGAACAGAAACCCGATTCTAAAGTTTCTAACCGGGTGTGTATTATTTAATAAATTTAAATCTGTACATAACATAAACTACTGACATAAAAAACAAACAAATTAAATTAAATTTTACTAAAAAAGCAAATTTATTCCATGAAATTATAATTATCAATAGTTTATTTTTAATAAAAATTGGCACATTAAAAATTTTAAATGGCAATTTTCTAATTTTAGAACGCTAAATTAAACAATTTAATAATTTCTAGAATAACTTTTACCTTAAATAATATGCTAATGACTAATTTAGAAAATATTTTTAACAAAAATAAAATATTTTTATACATAAATGCATGATATTTAGTTTAATTATTTTTAAATTTTTTATGCTATTTTTTTCATTTTTCATTTTTTTAAATTTCCGAATAAAAATATAACTTTTGTATTTGTATTTTAACAAGGAATAATTGTACAGGCTTAATATAATTTTTAAAAACAATTTGTAAAACCTATTTTAATCACAAATAAAAAATTTAAAAAAAAAGTCATAAAAAAGAAAAAAATTAGAAACACAAATAAATTAGAAATACAAAGCAATTCTCAATTTAATTTTGAAAATTTGCGTGACAAATTGAATAAGGTTTAAAGGTTATGATACTTTTGAAAGTGATTTTATAAAAAAATTTATTTTTAAAAAATTTTTGAAGAAATCTAATTTATTTTAATATGGAGAATTCTTAATTTTTTCACTTAAATTTTTATTAGATGAAGGGTTTAAGGATTTTTTTCACCTTTCATCCTTTTTTTACAAAAAAGCATCAAGCATATATACTGTTTAAGGAATCGAAATTAATGAGATCCACTGACTTTTCTATAAAATTATGTACTTAAAAAATAAAGATAAGAAATAAAACTTATTGTTTTATGTAATACAGGAAGGCTAAAAGTAAAGGACACTTTTCATTCCATCCACACTAGATCTCTGTTATCGAAAATCGAGATTTTTCGAGATCTCGATTCTCGTACGACAGTCCCAGTCCGGTCTCTAATCCACTCTTTTCATTCCATCTATTTCCAAGCAAAGAGAAGACACTTCAAAAATTTTTCATTATATTAATTAATTATTTATGTAGATCTCAAAGTTTAAGCTTTATTTAATCATCTTATCATTAAGTTGGATAAAGTTATGGCATAAATAACGTGTCCCATTATTTTTGGGTCATACACTAGTTAAGTAAAAGTTTCAAAAATTGAATTTCAAGAATGAGTGTTACTGATCTACTAACAACTTTTGAAATTATTACAATAATATTTACTATCTATTCAATTTTGGTTTCAACACCAATTTATGTTTCTGTTCTAGTTTATATTCGACGACTTAGTGATAAACCACCGTTTAATTCTCCATTTTTTACGTGTTTTGTTGCTTTAGGAATTATAGATTTGGTGTAAGCAAATTGATAATAATAATAGGAATGATAATAATACAAATTCGAATACATTTTCAGAGTTTGCATAGGGCTGGTATAAGAAAATATAGACTTAGGGAAAATAAATTCAGCCCTTCTGGCTGATATTACTAGCAGCTCAACGCGTTCGAGTAGTCTACAGATTTAGCCATATTGCACACTTTCATGTATGTAGATAAGGGGTTAGAAGAATTTGTTTCGGGAAGTCTCAAACAGCGATATCGGTGTGTCATAAGAATATAAAAATAAAATAATGACTTGATTATAAGATTTGTTTGGAAAATGTCTATACAAGATCCTTAATAGTTGGGTAAAGTTGGATGGAAGTTTGGTAACACTAAGTCTACTTTAGATTTTAAATAAGCATGATCGTGCCAGGGTTGTTACTGTTGCGCTGTTTAATAGCTAATGAGGAGTCTATAAAAAATTTCGGTCTATTAAACTTATCACATAAAATTTAGATGCTATTGGCTCTATATCCTTAAAAAACTTCAATTTTGGGATGTCACCATTCCATTCTTTCAACCCTATGGTTCGCCTACACTAACATGCTCTATTGTTTACTTCATTATTTGGTTTACAGGAATGGCACAATGGGAATTAAATATACTCATTTCTTTGAATCGCTTTGTTTCTTTGATGTTTCCAAATATTTATAAAACGGTATAAGAATATTTTTGTTTTTAAATTACGGGACTACCATGGGTCAATCATAGAAATGAAGGTTTCAGAAGGACTATATTCTACAGGATTATTAAAGGATTAAAAATGTACAAGCCTAATTTGACTAAAAACTACAAAGCTTACAACCTAGCAGGCCTAGCCTACAGCTTCCGACAAAGCCTACAACCTCCGTGTTGATAAAATTTAGTGTTGGGTTGTGTCGGGTTTCCAAAATTTTCTTAGAATCGTGGTTCGGGTAACCCTATCCATCCCTGCTGCCTACATTCCTTTAATAATCTTAGAATAAATAACCAACTTATACTTATTATAGTATTGGACAAATAAACACAATAGAATTTATATTGGCTTGGTCTTTGCCATTTGTTTTCTGGCAACAATTCAAATCACTTGGCTTCCTATACAGATATCTCCTTCTATTATTATGACAGAAAATGGAAATATTACAAAATATACAGGACCTGTGTTTGCGAATGCCTCTGACAGTGTATGTTTAGATTAAGAGGTTGACGGTGTATGATCTTGATTCTAGAGGGTTTGTTCTTGATTCAGATTCTCAGGAAAACAATACGGTATCTGACTCGTTCATTTTGAGTTAAGAGCCCATTCTAGGATTTGAGTCACCCCCATATTTAAGATTCACTTTATTATAAGTTCATGTCTTGCTCTCAATATACCTATATTTTATAGACTGATGTCCTTCTGTTTTTGTTAAAATTAATCTTTCCGATTTAAGGCGTTTTATGGCTGGATATGGAAAGGCCATATCTACACCATACTAGGCATCTGCTTCTTTTGCTACATTCCAATGTTTTACAAAATTTCGCGATTTGACATGAAAGACCAAACAAAGAAGAAACAATATGAGATTAAAATGTTATATACCCTAATCTCCTTATTAGTTGCGAATATTCTTTATATGTGCTTCCTTTTGACAAGAGATTATTTGACTTCGATATACGCAGAATATGGACGATTTTCTGAGTGGTCTCTCTATGTATTGGCGGATATTTATGATTTACATAATCCTTATAATTTGTTGGTGACTTCAAAGAAGATTAGATGGGTAAGTTGAAGATATTTCGAAACAAAGAGTTTCAGATGCTTAAGACAGAAATGGAAAGCCCTAGGATAAGGCTGGTCTGAATTACTATTTTTGAGCCATTTTTTCAACTTTTGAGCCATTTCCGATCTGACAACTCTGATTTCCGGCAATATACGACATTTCCTATAGCCTACACAAAATTAAGATTACTTACTGATGAAAATAATCGGGTTGAAGGGAGCTTAATAAGATTACAAATACAAACACATTATTTCAAAAATTTAAGGGCTCCTATACTTTCTTCTTTTTCAAACAAAAAACAACAAAGCTTACACCTACACAAATTTTAAACAAAATGGTAACTTCAAATC